GGACTAAAACATTCTGCAGTAAGGAAACCAAAAGAAAAATAAACAGTCATTTTGAAAATGGAATGGCTGCTTAATTATACTCATTGTCAATGGCAACTGTATAATTAAAACCACTATTAGTATAGTCTTGTTGATAGTTCGTTACTTTAGTGCTCAGAATAAAACAAACCAAGACAAACCAAGAGTAAAGCATGTATTTATGTATTTTTTGGTCTTTTATCAAACACCTACCAGCAAAGCCGAGATCAAAGAGCTCACGTTTTGCCTTATTTTCTTTATCCCACCAAAACAGCTCTTAGTAAAGAAAACCCTATTTTATCACCTTCTAAAAGAATATTATCATTCACTTTAATTTAAATATATATTTGTTTAACACATAAAATATGCAAGGTATTATACTGGATAAAAAACAGGACTGAAAAAATAAATCTTTCCTTCAATGTGCTTACCTACTAATAGAGTCACACATGCATAATTACAATACAAAGGAGTAAGTGGTAAACCATAGGATAAAGAAATGGCGAGAAGCATTTAGAGGGCACAATTGCTCCTAATTCATTAGGACAATGAAAAAAGGCTTCAAGATCATGGCACTATACAAGGACATATACAGATTCTCAGAATGTGTGAAAGCCAAAAAAAAAAAGGCACAGAGAACAGAACAAGCAAAGAAATAATACTGGGGAAACTTAGGGCATCTTCAGCAAACAAATATTTCAGGAGATATAAAACTGAAGAATGAGACTCAAGCCTGGAAAGGTGGTACACTGACAAACTTTGAAGGACTTTTAACTGCAAGCTCATGAATTGAAGTCAAATGCAAAATGAGGAGGCAAAACAAGGTTTTAAATAGGTGAATGAAAGGGTGATAATTATACTCTATGTCAATTAATCTGGCAGCATATAAAATAATAAGCTGGAAGGCAATGGATTGGGGGCAAAAATAAATGATTAAGAAAATATTTTGAAGGGAGAAAAGGGAGAAGGGAAAGCCAACCAAGATAGTTCAAGATAAAAAAATAATAAAGAGGTTTTAAACTAAAGTAGGGGTAATGAGATTATTAGGCACAAATGAGAGAGTTAGGGACAAATTTGAGAGTCAATGCAGAGGGAAGAAAAGAACAAAATATAATGATTATGCAAAAAAAAAAAGAAGAGAAGAAATAAAAACAATAGCTAAAAGACTACATCTTTGGAAACTAAAAAAATTATGGTTCCATGAACAATAATCAGAAATATAGGAAGAAGAAGTTTAATAGAACAATAAGTTTAGTTTGGAATATATTCCCCTGTGAAGCATACAAATATTCATATTCAAGTGCGTTGGCGGTATAGTGGTGAACATAGCTGCCTTCCAAATATTCATATTCATGTGTACCGTGAAATACATAATGTGAAAAGGTATAGCATTGATGAGATTTCCATGATTTATAAATTAACTTGTATTACAACTGCTAAGTGTATGTCTATAAGCTCATAAAAAAATTATCAGCACTCTGAAGGTCATACATCCACAAATGTCTGCAATCTAATTCTATCCCATAACAGCTTTAAAATGGCTTTGATGAGGTACAATTCATGTATCATAAAATTTACCCATTGTAGTGTTCAGTTCAACAATTTTTAGTATTAAACAATGTACAGAGTGTGTAACCATCACCACAATCGTATTAGAATACTTCTATCACCTCAAAAAGTTTCTTCATTATGCTAGTTGCAGGTTTTTCACAGATGCTTTTGATCAGGTTGAGAAAGTTCCTTTTTTTAAAAAAAAAAAATAATCAATAGGATTCAAGTGCTTTTCTATATCT